TCTGATTCTACTTCTTCATTTTATTCATTTTTTACTTAGAAATTACGATTCAGGATCAATTAGATCTAAGGTTGAGAGTGTGTATGTGTGTGTTTTACACATTTATCTGCTTTTTACTTTTATTTCTTTTTTTCTTTTTATGTCTTTGATGGGGAAACAGGGTATACATATAAATAGAGGTATTGCTTCTAATAGTTCTAAAGATTGTTAAGAAGGAGAAGAAGGAAAGATAAACGTGAGTGTAAACACTGGGATTACTCTTTTGGTACAAAACCCTTCAGTCCTAACCACGGAGGTGCCATTCAGGTTTGGGGCAATTTTCTGTGTGGCCTGACAGGTCTTCTTTCAGCATTAGCTGACCCCACCCAGTGCCACATCCGCAGCAGCTGTCCCCAACCGCTCTGCTCCCCTGGTGCTTCCGCAGCTTCACCTCCCCACACCACACTAAGATGAGGTCCTCAGCTGCAGACCTCTTCCTCTGCGCCTCAGCGTGTCTCCCAGTCTTCTCGTTCAGAGGAGGTGCCTGTTTTCAAGCCCAGCCTTGCCCCCATCCCAGGGGTTCCTTGGAACCCTTGTCCTCTCTTATAGTTTCACACTGTCTTTTGCTGGCTTCTTCCCCTGGACTTCAAATGTGTTCAAGTCTCTGCTACCTTAGAAAATGACTTTCTTTGATCCTGATTCTTCTTAGCTCTCAATATACAATCAGGATCCACTGGATCCAATTTTATTTTTTCAGTTTCGTTCCTTAGTATTCTATTTGTCAGGATTAATACTTCATAACTTTTATTTTTTCTTAGAGGTCTTCCAAAGAACAAAGAGAAAATAACTTTTTAAAAATATATAAAATAAAACTCATTTTCTCCTTGCAATTACCATATGGATCTACTGAACCTTTTATAAATTTAAATTACATTGTAAGATTTTTGTTTTTTGTTTTTTGTTTTTTTTGAGACAGAGTCTCACTCTGTTGCCCAGGACGAGTGTGGTGGCGTCAGCCTAGCTCACAGCAACCTCAAAGTCCTGAGCTCAAGTGATCCTCCTGCCTTGGCGTGTGCCACCACGTCCAGCTAATTTTTTTTCTAATTTTAATAGAGACAGGGTCTCACTCTTCCTCAGGCTGGCCTCAAACTTCTGAGCTCAAGCAGTCCTCCCGCCTCGGCCTCTCAGAGTGCTAGGATTACAGGCATGAGCCACCGCACCCAGCCACATTATAAGATTTTAATGATCTTATTTTTTCTATGTCTTGAAACATTTTGTTATTTCATCATTCTAGGAATTATTTTATCACTAAACATTGGCTATTCCCTACTATGCAAAAAAACAAAAAAACAAAAAAAACAACCAAAAACAAACACATTAAGAAAATGGGAGAATGATAGAGTCTCTCGAAAGGGTGATGTAACATGTAAAATAAATCGTCATCTTTTGATTTTCTTATTGCATTGTCCAAAGTATGGTATCATCCTTCAAGAAAATATAAAAGACGACTGGAGACATAATTTCTGCAGTCTGCTTTTAGCTTGCAGGGAACATAGTTGAGAATTCATAATTTTTCACTGTCTACCAATAATAACAAAGAGAAGAAAACTGACAGAGGAAGATGTTTAAAAATTCTGAGGCTAGTCAGAAGATGAAGAGCCATCAGGACTCTAGACTCTAATGATGATGATGAAATTGACTGTATAAGTGAAATCTCAGAGTGTTAGCCTTCATAAAATAATATCCTAGCTGAATTTTCACAAATTAAAGAATGAACAAAAATGTATCCTTAGAAATATATCTAAGGATGAAAATGAACTATCATATTCTCATTCTATTAGTCATTTGACTAGAAGTACTTTATCACACAGTATTTTGCTACAAAAATCTGGAGCATTTTGTTTTACAAAAAGGACTTATGAGAGTATTCTTTCATCTTTATCTATTATGATAAAAATAATTTTGTAATACTTAAAACTTTATGCATTATATATGTGTGTATATATATATATGTATACGTATAGATACATATATATATAATGAAATATATTTCAGCCTTTAAAAAGATGGAAATCCTGTCATTTGCGATAAATGAATAAACCCAGAGGACACAGTGTTCAAGTAAAATAAGCCAGGTGCAGAAGACAAATACTGCATGATCCTACTCATATGTGGAATCTAAAAAAGTCAAAGTACAGAAGCAGAGAGTAGGGCAGCAGTTGCCAGAGCTGGGGGTGGTGGTGATGTGTGTGGAATGGAGAGATGGTCAAAGGGTACAAAAGTTTCAGTTATACCAGATGAGTAAGTTCTAAAGATCTAATGTATAACATGGTGATTATTGTTAATAATATTGTGTTGTATTCTTGAAATCTGCTAAGAGAGTAAATCTTAAATATTTTCATCACCCACACAAAAAATAGTAACTAGTGAGGTGATGGCTACATTAATTAGCTTGATTGTAGTAATCACTTCACAATGTATATGTATATTAAAACATCACATTGTATACCCTAAATATATACAATTTTGTCAATTATAGCCCAATAAAGCTGGAAAAAATAAAAATAAGAACTTTACTTAAAACAATCTTTATTGAAGCTTTGGATCTGCTAAATTACTATTAATAGTTAACTTACTTGGCAAAAACAATTTGACTAAATGCTTGTCTTTGCACTGGAGAAAATATACTAGTGAACTGAAAAGCTTCCTTAAAGTAATTTTCCATCTTTGTCCTCTCTTCACACCACATTTATCTTGTAAGTTTAATCAGTCACAGCCAACTCTTAAACAAATGCAAGGAAAGCCTCATAATGAGAGGAAAAAAGATCTTGACTGAAAGTTAACAATAGGGTGTATCTTTAACACTGCTTTGTCATTCAATTAATGCTGATGAGAATTTCATTTCTTTTTGATCACTTTTCATTGGAAAGTTAAGATGTTTGTAAATCCAGATTATTGACGACAGCAGTGAGCTATATTGGCTCATAAATCTATTTGAGTTATTACATTTTGACAGGTAAATGTATTATATATCTAACTCCCACTGCACATATTTCTCTTTTTTCTCCCAATTTATAACAATCCCAAAAAAGGATACAGGAAGGAACACACTGATCCTATGTTTTTGTGTTTTCATTTATTTTGTAGACTCATTTCCAATTTAGTTATACTGTAGGCTTTGCCATGATTTATGGTTATAGTTTGTTTGTGTTTAGATATATATTTCTGTTTCCATAAAAATACTCTGATTAATGCAGGGTTGATATGTTTCAAAACTAAAAAAATTCTTGTTAAAATTTCTAATAAGGTTGTTTTTCGCTGTCTCTTTATTCTTACTTCTGTCAGTTTCCTGGTAACGTTGTCAGGAATATTGAAAGTTTTGCAAACTAGTCATTGTTCTTCTTGCTTTCACTGCCAAAAACTCCCCCAAAGTAGCTTACTCCATTTTTAAAGAGCTCAGGGAATGGGACACATTTTAGGATACATGAAAAGGCAGCAGGTGTTATGTAGGTAATGAAAATGGTAACAGAACTTCCCATGGCAAGACAGTCAAAGGAAGGCTGTGCATACAACTTAGTCTGTAACAGTGTGGCAGTGCTGAATATTTATGTGGTGTTTTATAGTTTCAAGTTTCTTTCACAAACACAGGAAACATTTTCACAACAGCTTTCTGAGAGAGTAGTGTGAGTAGTATTATCTCAGTTTTAAAGAGGTGGAAAGAAACAAGTTTGGAAAGGTTAAGTTACTCACCAAAAGCTACAGTTAGTAAATAAGAAAGCTAGGACCTAACACAGATCACAGGGCATTAGGCCAATGACATCATGATGCCTGAATACCCAACCCATTTAGGAAAAATCAGGTATAAAAGATGGCACTGTGGTTACAGAAAATGACCTAGTGTCAAAGGTGAGTGAACACTGAGAAGAAAGCAACACTGGTTTTGTTTAAACACTGTGTCCTTCCCTGATGCTGAGCAGGAGATTATGACAATATTCTCTCAGTGAGAAAATGGATAGAAAATAAATTTGGAAGACATAGAACAGCAGTAGTTAGGAAGTCTGTGGCACTATAAACATCAGCTTCTTGACTGGACTCATTGCAGGATATTAAAAACCAGCTGCAATCAGTCTGACTCCTTTTTAAAACATTATATTTAATTATTACAAAGATGACACAAAAAATTTACCTGGTACTGCTGTGAACTTTGTATAAAATTTATTGGAGGCTCACTTTGTTTACTCTTCAACCTTAAAATGTTATCGGCATAACCCCAGCTCAGGATGGCTGACCACTGAATGTCAGTACTGTTCATGCTTCTCACACCTTAAGGAGAAGGAGAAGTAAAAGATGGTTACTGCTCAATTGTTACATGACAGCCAAAAAATTACAGATTAAAGCCTGAATTTACTTAGCAGAATATATCATTTGGAACAAAGTCATCTTTATATCCCTAAGATGGAAAAATTTATTTTAGTTTTATTCATTAGTGCTAATAGAATTTTAAGAGCGGAATTATATTCTTTTTCACTTGGGTTGTTTTGGTTGGGATTTATTTGACTTAGAACTAAAATTTGTTATGAAATTTTTATAATAGACGATGATAGTCAAGCTTACTCTATTCAAGTTCTAAGACACCTTTCTTTTTAAAAATAAATATGAACTAGATACTGTTTAAATAACTTTCTAGATACCGAGTGCTGAATAATCAGTATGGACAACTACTAGAAAGAGAACACTGCTAGAGTAGAAGCAACAGCTACCCTGAGAAGGAATAATTTAATCCTGCCAACTTCAGGACTGTGCATGGTGGATCTTCATTCAAGGAGGTTATGTTCTTCTCTCTCTTTTTTACAACATAGTGTTATGTCCTTTTCACATAAAGCTTTGGAAATTTTGACAACCTTTCCCCATACTATTCATAATCTATGCTGAATATAGCTAAATGCAGCATAAATGCTGTAAATGGTACTGCCCTTAAAACCTGCAATGTTTCAAGTTCTTGAAGGAGAAGGAATGTGTTTTATTTATTCCTGTACCTACCAGAATATCCAGCATATAGAAGAGTATAACAAATAAATATTTCTTGAATGAATCAATGGCACATTGAAAATGTAATTCACAGATTTCTTTCTGTTTTGTTGAGTAAAACACCAAATGTTGACAACATTTGCAACAAAGGAATTAGGAAATACTCACTAAATATAAGCTCCTCTAAATATATGCTGCTAGGGTAAGGAACCACATATGATGAGTCTTGAGACCTCTCCAAATCTACCACAGTATCTGGCAAGTAGCAGGTGTTCAATAACGCACATTTATGATTCCAGTAATGCAAGATGCAGTATCTTTTTTTTTTTCTTTCAGAAAAAGAAACTTCTCCTTTACCTATTAGAACAGTGGATCTTAAACAGGAGCTTGCAAGAAAATTGATTTTTAGCATTTGTAGGCTTGGACTCAAGCCCTAGAGATTCTGATGCAGTGTGTCTCAAGGGAGACCCAAGCAAGTATATTTTGAAAAAAAGCACCTCAAGCATTTCTGAGGCACAGTCAATTCTCAAATAATTGGTTTATATTGGGCTTAAAATCATTAAAACCATCTCAGTGTAGTTGTTAACATTGTATAGCACCTGCATGTACCACACAGCCATTTTATATGACCGTGCTCAATACATTCCAGCTGTTAACAAGTAGAACCTTCATTGCAAACTCCACTTGTTCATAAACACTTCTCTGGGATGCCTATGTGGACTGTTAGTGCTGGGTCTGCACAGCATAAATACTGACCTCGTCCCAGGTCCCAGGACGCTTATAGTCCAATAAACACTTATTAAGCACTTGGAATGAACCAGGCACTGTGCTAATCATTCTCATACATTATTTCATTGAATCCTTACAGTAAATTACTCTGTGAAGTAAATCCTTTTGTTATACCTATTTTATGTATCAAAAACCAAGCTTCACCAAGCCCAGCTTTCCGCCCAGCTAGTAAGCAGCAGAGCAAGGATGCACTATGCCTCCTGAGGCCATGACTAAAGCCGTTACGTTAACTTCTCTGGACATACCTCGATTCTGACAAATCCCAAATACATTCTGCAAGGACGTAAAGTGTAATTTGAATGAACACAGCTATTAAGGGCACACTAAGGGCTTGTGATTGTAGTAGCACAAATAAGATAGGCTGAGAATTACATTTGACATATTTAAGTTCCATAATGTTAAGTGATAATACCAGTCCTTTCCCTTTTGCTCAATGGAGATAACTTTCATGTATTCTAATTAATCGTTTTACAAAGTAAATCATTCCCACATTTTGGTACTTTAAGTATTATTGGTGGTAAATTATGAGGTGTGATACACCTCATAACTAATTGCAGTAAACTGATTATCACAATAATTATGATTAAACAGATTTACCTTATCCTACTTACTCCCTAAACTTAAGTGTATGCATTATTCCTAACAACTATAAAAACAATTATTCATTTAATGACAGAAGTAAGAATGAGCCTAAAAGAACTGTGGCCTGGCCAGTAAACTTAATTTCTTTAAGTGACTGATGTTTGGCCCGGGTGCTGGCACGCTGGTATTGCATTGCAGGTGGAAGGCTACGTACGGACTCCGAGGAGCACAGTACATAGAAGGTGATGTTAAATGCTAGCAGTGCTGACTAAGAGGCATCTGTCCACAAGGTGGCTTTCAGGCACATCTGCACACAACCTGATAGGAACAGATGAGGGCCCTCAGTCATTCGTTTCAGTATCCTAAGTCCATGCCTAGTAAGTAGGGAGAGCTCTTTTGCATCCAGTGAAATGGTTAATTTGGAAGGGCTGAGGGATTACTTAAGTGGAAAATGTCTCTAGTTTTTCAGGGTCTACTTGACATTTAGAAATATCAAGAGGCCTTGACTGCACAGCACTTTTCCACATGTGGCTTTTAGTGAGTTAGTGCATGAGGACTCAGAAGAAGATTGCTTTTCAGGGGCGTATGTTTTTAAAATCTATTTGCAAGTCTACTTGACTCCCTTGTTTGGTTTGTTTGTTTGTTTAAACCAATGGCTATATCTCCTTTTTCCTTTTCTTTTTTTAAGAGATAGGGTCTCGCTCTGCTGCCCACACTGGAGCACCGTGTCACAGTCATAGCTCACTACAGCCTGAAACTCTTGGGCTCAAGCAATCCTCCTACCTCAGCCTCCCAAGTAGCTGGGACTACAGGCACACGCCACCAGACCTGGCTCCATGACTGTATCTTCTGAAGTACTAGATTTGTTGGTCAAATATATCTGTCTTTCCTGGGGTTCAAGAATCTCAAAGTTTACATTTATATCAAATTGATAATGTTTTCATCTTGTGAACATAACCATTCATTCTTATCTCCTTCAAACTCCTCCTCTCATTTCAAACAGCGCTGCACTTAATTCTCATTTTTTTCATGCAGTATGTTTTAATTCCTACTTTGCACTAAATAGCCACAAATTCGAGCAGAGTTTGTCATCAAGGACTCAAACAAATTTAGAAGTAAAACAAAATGACAGCACAGATGAGCAGGAAACATTCAAATCTTATGAAAGATATATCCAGAATGATTTTCATCATGTTTTATTTTACCTTGCTCCTTGCTGTATGTCATCAGAAGACAGAAATTTCGGGACAGACCACAGATTGCTCTGGTGGGCAGAGCCTGGAGAGAACCAAATCTTTCTCCGTGGGGCTGGCTGAAGCAGACCACAGGTACTGGGGCACTTGGGGAACCCACATACTCTCCCCATTTCAAGCCTTTTATCCATGACAAAGGACTCTAAAACCAAGGAAAGTAAAAAGTATGATTTTTAAAAAAAGGTAGTAAATATAGAATTACTTCCAATTTAAATTCTAAACAAAGTAAGAGAAAGTAATATAAATTATAAGTTCTTTGAGGGCAAGAATTATTTTATACTTTTTTATTTCCCTAAGCTTAGCATATAGAAATATGTGTTCCTTATTTGATTTTTATTCTGTGGCTCTGGCCTAACTCGCATTAAAATATCTGGCTAATATTTCAAAATTCCTTGAAATTTGAGCAGAAAAAAAAAGAATTTAAGTGCATTTCTTTCAATCTAGCTGAAATACCTAAAGTTAACATCTATAGGAGGATTGTAATTTGACAATGTGCCAAGCCATATACCATGTGTAGTACAGAAAACCTCACTCAACTATGACTGACTTCAGGGAACACCTCTGATTTGTCTATGTGCCTGGAATATAGTAGGTTCTTAAGAGATGTTTGATGAATATATTGAAAAGTATTTATCTGTGGAGCATACCGAGAGGACTAGAGCATCTCTAGAAAATACTAGTAAGTACTAGAGAAGAAAAGAGATAAGAAGGAGTTGTCAGTGAAAAACAAAAAAGGAGGAGGAGCTTGAACAGTGGGATTTGGGTACAGAAAAATGAGGGAAGACTGTAGAGAGATACCATGTGCTTGCCCATGAACAGTAATGAAAGTTTCCTCCACCTCAAGTAAAAATAGTGATCAAGAAATTTTGAAATCAAGCAGAGAAGAAACCACGCCCTTTTCAAGACTTTCTCCCAACAGTTCTATTCTTTTTGTTCTCTTTTCACTGTTTTATCCTCTATTAATCTCTTCTTTTTAAATGGATTTTTCCCTCTTTCAGATATTTAAAAGTTTAATTATTTTAACTCTTCAGGGGAAACGTTACATAAATCTAATAAAAATAATATGCTAAGCAATTTTCAGTCAGTTCCACAAAAAACCTAATGATTTTTAGTGAAATTTGCTTATGTTATTTTTCAATGAATGGAAAAAAGGCATTATTGGCCTATATATTATCTTTTAAAAATTTATGCCACTTTAGGACCTCTAATAATTCTGTCAGATTATTTAGGGGACATATGTTAATATACAGTCTTAAATGGTATCAGAATCTAAAAAAGTGAGTATCTCTGGAAAAGCTGAAGAGCTTCAGGAATGCTAAAGTGGGAACAGAGAGGTTAGGATCAGATATTTTGAAAACAAGATTTTTCTAAAATTTTGTCTATCAATGTTAATGTGGAGAAAAACATGTGTGCTGAGCTATAGTTATGATTTATCATTCAAAATTCTTTGCCAGAAAATTCCTTTGACATAAATTGCAGAGTGTAAACTTTTAGTTTTTCAATTACTCACAAAGATACAATGGCAACTGTTTTACATCATGGTATGTATAAAAGAGGAGTGTTTTATTTAAATGCTTTCCATGTAGCTCTGATCGTTTTAGACTTTAATGATGAACTGCAGCTCACACAAGCATATCTGGGTCATCCAGATGACCCCTTTATAACTGAGGACTGTTGTTCAGTTTCAGGGCTGGTGTTTGTATTTTGTGTAGATGTCAAGTGAAGGCCCAAGGAGTCAAGGAGGAGTACTGTGTGGAAGGCTTCATGATGGTTCAAATAAAAAGCAGTGGCATAAATGTCATTACATGTCACACAGACACGCAGCAAGCCAAACTTTCAAGAACTTGTGCTTGAGAAGATATTATTTTAAGAAATAATGCGTGTCCACTGTATGTCAGGCACTGTTGTAGGAACTGAAGATACAGTGATGAAAAAGACAAAGTCCTTGTCTACAGGGAGTTACCACCCTGGCTGGGATGGGAGAGATAGACAAATAAGTAAACAAATACATATACAATATGTCAGGTGGTGGAAATGCTATATGAAGCAAAATGAAGAAGGAGAAGAGGACTGAGAATGATGGAACTGCTGTTTTAGGTATAATCAGAGCTGCATGAAAAGCATTTAAATGGGGCTCAGGCAAGACTCTGAGGAAATGTCTGTGCAGAGACCTGAATGAATTGAGTCAGCAAACTGGGGCTATATCTGGGGACAGGTTATTCCAGGTGGAGGACACAGTGCAAAGGTCTTGAGGTGGGAATGAGACCAGCTGGGACCACATTTCCACTGTGAGCCTTTATATAATATATAACATGCCAACTTAAAATTAGCAATAAGTATAGTAGCAAATTAAATGGCACTTATTAATTTTTAGGGATGTACTATAAAATTATTTTGACATATTAAAGTAACAGATTGTAGTTAAAAAGTGACCCTGGTAATGACAGTGACTAAAATGATTTGTGAGGCTTCAGAAGCACGAAATCAAAAAATATAGCTTTCTACTATGAAACTCAATATTGGTGATTTAGTTTTAGTAAACAACATTGTCTATCATATTAATATTTTGAAATTAAATTTTATTGGTTGAGTAAGTTTTATTTGTATTTAACATGTAAATTTGACATATGTGAGCTATGAGCATAAAGAATTTACATCTAGTGTTCTGTCTGACATAAAGTAATACTATTACAAGGAAAAATTGTCAAAACAAGGTCTGTGAAAACATTTCCTCTTCAAACGGATCACAGATTACTGCAGTTTGAGACACACTGCTTTATTTCATTCAAGGTCTTTCACAGCCTCTTTTCTTTACCGTGTCATTTCTTTATGATTTCCTTCTGCAAACTCTTATAACACTTTACAATTCACATTTTACCATGTTATGCTGCTTTTATAATGAAGAATTGAGTTGAAGATTAAAATTCATTTTACTTTTAAGGCTTGCTTGCTTTATTTTTCTACTTCAAAGTAAAAATTATACCTATTTCCTATTTTTAGAGATAATACTTTTTATGATTACAATCTGGAGAGGCCAAAGAAAAATATGTAAAGTTCCCCCTTAAGTGTAAACCAGAACATCCATACCGCTGGTCAGTCCTTTTGGTTGAAGATGATAACCAGGACCGGGCTACGCATGTGTACACTGGCATACCCATGCTTAAACTGCTCTCTAGTACTGACGGTTCCTCCCCTCTTGTTTGCAAAATCCTGTTATGTCACTGTGTTGGGAAGCTTTCCCTGGTAATAACCCTTCTCTCTGCTCTCTAAGGGAGTCCACTGTCTGACACGATCAATTCGTTTTTCCTTTAAGCTCCACAAAGCACTCTCTTCATATCCCTGACACAGCATTTACCTCGCACAGGATATTGCTTTTGCTGCCTGCACCTGTCTTGTGCCAGCTGGTGCACAGCCTTAGGCCAGGACCATGCTATTCATTTCTGTGTCCCTAGAGAGCCTAGAAGAGGGCCTGGCATTGCGGGAGTCTAATCAGGTTTTGCTGAATTCTATTGAAATCCAAATGACATACCGGATAGGTGATTTCTTTGACCTGTTCTCGAGTCTCTCTGAAAGCAAACTGCACTAACAACCCCACAGCAGCTGGAAGCTCTCCTTCAATGTTGAGCTTGGCTCCAGGTCTGCTTGCATGAGCTGTGTGGAACAGCTGGCGAGGAGTCTGCCCATAGGTTTTTATCATGGTCTCCAGCGCCCGTCTTTGAACTGGATCTTCAACTGCAGAGACATCCATTCCAAAATATGTCTATATAGTACAAGAGGAAAAGAACAAGAGACATGTAGCATAAAGCAAGACTTGGCAATAATACCAAAGGGAAAAATAATACTTTCTTTTCTTTTCTAGCCAATGGTTTACTCCTCTCTATTTCGAATGGAAATTATTCAAAATTGTTTTTGATCATAATCATCTGAGATCAGAATAGCATTAATCAATGTTTCTGAACAGGTGAACAAAAATAGTGTATCTTAACTATTGGTTTAAATTAGGTATCTTTATAAAAGTCCTTTCTAATTTAAGACCTGAGAATATGTATGACTTCATGCATAATACCAAGTTATTGAAGAAGTTGCTTGTCCAAAGTGATGTATAGGAAAAGGCAAAATGAAGTTAAAAAAACAATGCTAGTAGGTAGTTCAAGAGAACATTATTTAGGTTCTAAAGAAAATTGTTAAGTGATTCTGAAAGAACAGCAATGAAAATTATAAGCTCTTTAATGTAAAGGGTATTATTACATGTTTTCTCTTAGTGTTGTCATCCCCTAAAATCAGATAAAGAGCAATGTGCATTTACTTCCTTATTTCTAAAGCTAGCAGTCAGTAGCTGAGTACAGATTGGCCATATTTTGTGCATATCTACTTTAACAGTTTAGCTTTTAGCATTTAATCAATCATAGCAACTTTCATTTACATATCTAGATATAACATTTCTGTAAGTGCCAAAATAAAATTTCAAAGATACTTCACAAGTTAAATAATCTTCAACACTACGCCCCTCACCATCACTCCCAGCACCAGGGATCAAATATTTGTTACAGATGCATATCTAAGCAGGGCATTTGTAATGGTTATTTGACTTAATGTACTAAAAGAAAATTCAAATGATGACTGATATAATCCTATAGCCAAAACTCTTTTAAAATCTATTTTTTCTCCCATTCTGTAGATTGTCTGTTTGCTCTGTTAATTATTTCCTTGGCGGTGCAGAAGCTTTTTAATTCAATCAAGTCCCATTTATTTATTTTTGTTGTTGCTGTGATTGTCATTAGGGTATTCTTAGTAAATTCTTCGCCTAGCCTGATATCTAGAAGAGTTTTTCCAACATTTTCTTCTAGAATTCTTATGGTTTCATGCCTTACATTTACGTCCTTTATCCATCTGGAGTTAATTTTTGTGAGTGGTGAGAGAGATGAATCCTGTTTCATTCTTCTGCACGTGGCTATCCAGTTAGCCCAACAACATTTATTGAATATGAATTCTTTTCCCCACTATATATTGTTGTCTGCTTTGTCAAAGATCAATTGGCTCTAGGTGGATGGTTTTATATCTGGGTTTTCTGTTTGGTTCCATTGGTCTATGTCTCAATTTTTGTGCTGATACTATGCCGTTTTGTATACTATAGCCTTGTAGTATAGTTTGAAGTCTGGTAATGTGATACCTCCTGATTTTTTTCTTTTTGCTCAAAACTGTTTGCTATTCGGATTCTTTTCTGGTTCCACACGAAGCGCAGACTTATTTTTTGTAGATCTGTGAAATATGACATTGGTATTTTGATGGGGATTGCATTGAATCTGTACATCACTTTGGGTAGTATGGACATTTTAACAATATCGATTCTATTGATCCATGAGCATGACATGCTTTTCCACTTGTTTGTATCATCTGCGATTTCTTTCCCCAAGCTATACCTCCAATAAAGGACTAATAATCAGAATCTACAAAGAACTCAAGCAAACCAGGAAGAAAAAAATCAAACAACCGCACTAAAAAGTGGGCAAAAGACATGAACAGAGCTTCTCAAAAGAAGACAGACGAATGGCCAATAAACATATGAAAAAATGCTCAATGTCACTAATCATCAGGGAAATGCAAATCAAAACCACAATGAGATATCACTGTACCCCTGTTAGAATGGCTTTTATTAAAAAGTTCAAAAACTACAGATGATGGCGTGGATGCAGAGAGAAAGGAACGCTTATTCACTGTTGGTGGGACTGAAAATTAGTACAACCTCTATGGAAAACAGTATGGAGATTCCTCAAAGGAATTAAAAATAGACATATCATTTGATCTAGCAATCCCACTACTAGGTATTTACCCAAAGGAAAAGAAGTCATTTTATCAAAAAGACACCTGCACGTGAATGTTTATTGTAGCACAATTCACAATTGCAAAGATGTGGAATCAACCCAAGTGTCCATCAATTCATGACTGGATTAATAAAATGTGGTATATGTATACCATGGAGTACTACTCAGCCATGAAGAAGGATGACTTAATGACTTTTGCAACAATTTGGATGGAACTAGAGACCATTCTCCTAAGCAAAGCATCTAAAAAATGGAAAAATACCACATGTTTCACTATTAAATTGGAACTGATGAGCACACATGTGCACAGAGGGAAGTACATCTCAAAGGAAATCAAGGGGGGTGGGTGTGGAGGGGATGGGCAAAAACCACCTAATGGGTACAATGAACACTATCTAGGTGACAGGCACACTTTTAACCCTGACTCAAGCATTACAAAAATGATCCATATAACCAAAAACATTTGTTCCTCCATAATACTTTGAAATTTAAAAAAAATTATTTTTAAATATGGCTTCTTTATAGTCTGTGATATCGGTTTCTGTGTATTAGTGAATGATGAATTAAGGTCAAAAGGCATTTCTATATGCCTTTTAAAAACATTAACATTTATTTGTACTTAATTGTTAGCAGACATTATCCTATATGAATTTCCTTCCTCATTTATGAGGTTGGTATAACAATTTACATTTTACTAATTTGTACATTTAGGTACAGAGAGGTTAAGCTATTTGCCCAAGGTCACACGACAAGTGACAGAGTCACAGAGTGAGGATTTGAACTCAATTCTTAATTCAGAGACTGTGTACTTAATCACTACTTTGTTTTGTTCCATGAATTGAATTTTATTAAATTCTTACAAACAATGGCATAAACTTTATCTTTTTAAAAGTACTGAAGTCCCAAAGAATTAGTGAAAATTCCATTCGGATGAGAATTACCTTGTATATTTAGTCTTCGGATACTTTTAATGTCAATTTTATATAAGAATAACTGAAAAGATGGTGCAGGATTATAGGCACAGAGTATATTGAGGTTAATGTCAAAATTCTTAATTGCTTTAAAAGTCGCATTTTAGGATCAAATGTAAATGAAGCAAGAAAACTATACCTGAAGCTCTGTCTTTATTTGATACTTGATGGGGTTTAGGACATGCTACCCCAAAATATGGCACATTGGCATATTGAATACTTTAAGTTGAAGGAATCTGATGAACAGCATGTGCAGAAAGGACCTTTTGACCTTTCCCTGAAGCAGGTTATAATACCTTCATAGGAGAGGTGCCTTTCCTGTACCCACAGGAAAGGGGCATCCTTATTTCTGAAGACAGAAGGACACAGAGAGGAATCTGAACAAACAGGTTTTGCTATTTCCCCCAGTTGATTACACTTAGCTCACACTTCATGACTTTTCAGTCTTCAAAAAATCTAGCATAAAAACACCCAGGTTTAACCACTTGTTAGAGGCTTTATTTCCTTAGGAAGCTTCCCATGTCACATAAAACTTGTATTACATAAATTTGTATGTTTTTTCTTGTTAATCTGTTTTTCTTTTCTTTTCTTTCTTTTTTCTTT